GACCAAAATAGTCATATCAATAAGTATTTTATTTTAAGGAGTTGGAAGAACTTACAATGATCAGGATTTGTGAAAATTGATCTAACTTCTCGTAGCACCTTAGTAATTGTTAGTGCTGGACTCCAATCATCCTTCAATATTCCCATACTTACAAGGCCGTCAGGGTCTACATTGCAGTGGTAAATGCGTGTTTTGAATACCACCTGCAATCTCATTTCTTTAATTTAAAATAGTAAAACACTGAAATCACTTCAACAGCCCTATACATTATTTTGTGGTTTGTTTGTGCATATCGCTCCTTTGTTTCCAAAACCAATACCACTCTTCCTTGATCAGGGGAAGTTTATGAAAATCAAGAAAAACAGAAGGAGGATAATTTAGTCGGTTCATAAAATATTTTGAACATTTCACAAAAGGGTTGTGCAGGATTTCAAAACAAAGGTGATATACTTTTAAAAATTGCAAAAATAGAAGAGGTAACAGTGACATACTCAAAAAGGAAGAAAAAAAAAAGTAAACTACTCCAAATTTCAATTTAAGAAACTAGAATTCAGAAGGCAGCTGGAAGTTCACATTGACCCAGTCGTCTCCCTAAAACAGCACAGCCAGAAAGCAAACTTTCCATTTTCCAGATCAAAATCCAAAAATATGTGCATTCAAGCAAATGAAAAACCTTTATATATATATTGAACATCATTAAGAATTAATTAAACTGACAATCAAGATTTATATATCAAAAATCATCTACAAACAAGATTAATCAAATGTAACAATCTAAACACATTGTCACTCTACCCCGGTCTTGACTTTAAGATTTCCTACTCAAGCCCATGAGAAAACCCATCCCAAAAGACTGCTCTGCTAAGTGAGAGAACACTCTACCCAACCACTCATTAAATGATTTTCATTCTAACTCTTTAAGCACATGTATATGTATGCACTTCCCTAGCTGCTTCTTTTCAAGTCACCCTTGCACATGAATTCCATAATATTAGTTTGTTGGGTAATGAGCCTCATGGCTCAAGTGCCACATTGAGCACCTATACTCAATACGGAACGTTATATCAGACAAAGACAAGTTCATCGCCTTGCAAAACCGAACTAGTGACTGATGGAGTAAGTCATATGTACTGTCTGCTTGAATGACTCAAACGATTGAGAGGAATCATGGTCCAAATGTGCAACCTATGTGCAAATTGATAAAGCCTGTCTTGATCCACAACCAATCCTAATAATAAATATCAACATGATCCATAAACAACTTTATTCTGGTCAACAATTAGAATGGATTTAAAGGAATTCAATCCAGTCATTGTATAAAATACAGCTCCATGCCAAGTGTGTATACAACATGTCAGAATGCGCATTTAAGCTCAACAGTAACCTTTCTTCTACCTAAAATCCTAGTCTCAATCTAAACCCCTTACTTCCTCATGGCTTACTAACTACATTGTCAGACAATCTCTAGCCCTCCTGGTTCTTGATTCGCCTAGCAGGCATGCCAATAAACTCGACTAAAGAGTTGACCGAACCAAAACTCTTTGGATAATAGCTATTGTAACTAGTATTACTATGATCAGTTTATTATGCTTCATTTTCCGGATTGGGCTCATTGTTGTAGTAATTGTAGAAATGAATACGTGCGGATCCCCTTGAGTTCTTCATTCAATGACAGATAAAACCACATATCCAACTTGACAGAAGTGAAAATGGAAGGAATTCAATGAAAAGATATTTCAAAAACTACACATGTTATCTTATGATCAGAAAGAGACACACCCTATGAGATGTAGTTTTTAAGATAAAATAAAAACCAATGGCTAAAGATTCATACACACCCACACGCAAGCAACTTCATGCATGTTAGATATCTTAGATTCTTAGAAATCTTATATTTATCTTTTATCTTCAATAATTTATTTTCTGTTACTTTGTTATTATGTTTTATTTATATTTTGGACTTAGTCCATATTTCCTTTATTATAAATAAAGTACTATATGTGTATTTTTTACACAAGGGAGATTAATCTCAAACCTATTTTTCATTATGTTCAATATGGTATCAAAATCATAATTTAGAGTTAATACTAGCAAAATTTGATGTTTGTTTAGTTTATTCTTCCACTCACTATCGGACCACCCATTAATGTTTAATCTCACACACAAGATGTATATACCTTGACATGAAGAAATTTGTTAGAAGTTCCACATAAACTAGAAATAAGGTCAATGCACAATATATAAGTGGATGCAAACCTCACCTTACAAGCCATAGGATTGAGTTAGGTTTAAACTTTATTTCTTAACATGGTAGTCTAGTTCCGGGTTATAGGTTCCACGCTTCATCTGATTCCACATATAAATCAGCTATTATCAGTAACTATTTCAAATGGTATGAGGGTGAATAGCCTTCTAAATCCACTGCATTTGTAGCACGTGTAGGTACATCTTTTGTTGGTTAACTCAATCTTCTTCTCTTGTACATAATATAGAGCTATAGCCTTAGTAACATGTGAACTTGTTTGGCTTAAGCAATTGCTTAAGAGTTACATATTAGTTCTAATCCTATATTTCATGAGAGAACTAAACACATTGAGATTAATTGTTATTTCATTTCAGAAAATATTGTATATGGAGATATCAAAATTGAGTTTGTTAACTCAATTGATCAATTAACAGATATTTTTATTAAGTCTTTAACAAGGACCGAGAATTGACTTATCTTATCTTCTATTACTTTGTTATTATTCTTTATTTATATTTTGAGTTTAATTCACATTTTCTTTATTATAATAAATAAAGTATCCTACGTGTATTTTCTACACAAAGGAGATTAATCCTAAACCTATTTTTTATCATGTTCAATAATGCAAATCTTTCACCTTTACTTATGAAAAGAAAGAAAACACATGTTCCAAATGGGAAAAAGTTAGAACATAGTCGACATTTTATTTACCCAGTTCATACACTTTTCTGGTTGTATAACAACATAACCTATAAAGTAAAGGATAGAAGCACTTCTATCAGAACTAGCAACAAAATTATCAGATCCAGTCCAGCAGACGGCTAGTAAAACTCTTCCTAACACCAATCAAAACACTAAATTATGAGAAAGAAAACTGAAAAAAGACGTTACCACTCGCTAAATAATAAGTTGTCACACTAATAAGTCAGATAGTGGTTAATGCGGCTGTTTGGCTAAATTTCTTAATTAGAAGAAAAAGAATAAGGAAAAATGAAAACAACACTAGTTCAAAGAGAGTTAACTTTGCAGATACGTATCCCTAAAACAAAATAACAAACACATATAGCGGAATACAAGGGAAATCGAAACATTTTTCACACTAAAAAAGATGAAACGGATTACTCAAAAGAAGTACATGTTCACTCCTTTGTAGAAAACAAAAAAGAATGGTGCAAGCAACATGAAGAATGTACCTGGGGAGGCTTGAAGGGATAATCACTAGGAAATTTGATGTCAAGGAAAAAGATTCCACCTTGATAGGGTGTTCCTACAGAGAAGAAGTTGATAAAGGAAAAATGAAAGTTAAGAAGATGATAGGACAGTAATAGGGTTAATAAATAGAATTGGGAATGTGTAGCTACCTGGGGTTCCAATAATGGTGGCAATCCAGTGATATAGGTTATCGCCCTTAGGGCCAGCGGAGCAATCGGGAGGAGGGTCGTTGTTGAGTTCCACCATTTCCCTCTGAATCCTCTTTCCTGAAGCCGACACGGAGGTTGTGGGTATCCATGACGATGTTGAGGAACTCCACGATGATTTTCCTCCCCCTCCTGATATCATCATCAATCTCTCAAACCCCAAACAAACTCGACAATTTTCTTCTTCAAACTTTCCACAACCAAGGACCAGAGTGTTTCATTTCATCCTCTCCCATCTTTTGCTTCCCACTAGCACTACATTTTTATCTCAAGAATTTCAACTCCAATGTTATTTGGATTAATATGATGCCAGTTACTATACTTTTATATCATAATAATGTAACAAGTAATTTTCTCGTCAATGAGAATGGATTATTTATCAAAAATATATTTAATTGTTGAAAAAATTACAGCATTATACCTCAGTATATGATACAGTTTTTTGAGATTGGAAATAATCACCTCTTGCTTTTAATATTTACAATTTCTCTTTATCCATGTACACAATTTAATATTTTCAAAAGAAAATGAACCAAAAAGTTATCGGAATAAATTCGACAGTAGTGACACTGCTTGCATCTATGGAAATGAGTATCCACTAAGGATAATAAAAAACAAAAAATATAATTAAAAATAAATATATATAATAAAAATTCTTAAAATAAGAACTTATCGTTAAATTATATTGAAGCTATAAAGAAATAAAGTAGACAAAATAATTATAAAAATATAAATACTTTTATTAACTTTTATGACATTGTAATTTCATACCACTAGATGATAAATATTATGAATCATCAGTAGTTTTTTACAAATAATAAAATGAATTGTAATCACAACAATAAAACTGTAAACTAAAGAAAACGGTTACTTAATATTTATAGATTGGTTATAAATTATATATAGATATAAAATCACATGTATTTACTTTTGTAAGATAACAAAAAATAATAAAATTATAATTATAAAAGTAAATATAAATAATTTCTATTTATTTTGTAAATGAATTTCATTTATTTAGTAAATAATTTTTATTTATTTAATTTTAAAAAATAGTTAAATTTTAAAAGATAATTAAATTTAAAAAATCAATTAAACTTAAATAAAACGAAAATTTGAAAGATAAAAATTAAAAAAAAAAATAGACACTAGAAAGGAAATTTTCCTTTATATATGTATAGATGAATAAACAATCAACTCCCCACTGCATGTGCTTCTTTTGTTTTTAAACATCAGTAGCTAGTGTATCGCGTGTCATGCTGTTTTATCAGATGGGTAGCAGCAATACTCTCTCATATATGTAAAATCATTTTTACATTGATGCTGAAATAAATAAATTCATGAAAGAAATGGAGATCTAGATCGATCAGCAAGAAAACTTGTAGTTGCAGATGAATTTTGAACATTCAGAAATCTATAGCAGATCGAACCTTGCGATCATAATACAAAACTAAATTTAAGGAAGAAATGATGGAACTAAAAGCTGCTTGCTTCTAATAACTGCCTGAACCTGAATGACATATAACAAGAGTTATTAAATAGGCGAAGGCAAGAAGCGATATTGCTGTGTTTGTTTCATGTCAAGTGAACAGCTCTGTAAACTACCTAACTTTACTACTACTACTACTGATATTTCAAAGTTCTAGTCCAAAACATGCTTCCATGCAGCTGAAGATGCTAGCCTCCGTCTTCAACAAGCAAACCTTAAAAGGTATCATGCTGAACTCTTAACACCTAATCTGTGTTAACCTTCTCCTCAATACTTGAGTTGCTAAGTATTACTACACCAATTATTATAAGTATGGCACCTGCAAACCACTGTGGAAAAGTTTTTGCATCAGAAAAATGTACAATTGAAGAAGTGGAATACACAAGAGGTATATAACCAGCTATAAGTATTGGTGTGGTTTAGTTATTTAGCACTGTCAGCATCAGTAGCAAAGAAAGAAAAGACAAGCATCCCTTTACCCTGTTAGCACAACAAAAGCAGGAGCACAACAGCATTTAAGTTTATCTGTTTGGTGCCCCTTGAAAATTGTGTCCCGGAGACCTTTTGTAAAATTCCTTTTAAAGTGAAGAGATTTATGTTTGGATTTTTTTATTGCAAAATCAAGTTAGTAGAAAAGCTCCATTATTGTTTTATTGCAACATGTAAGGTATATACAGTTTTTTAAACTCAATGAATTTGGACAATTAATTCATCGACATTAGCCAAACATGTTTAACTAAAATTACATTAAATGGTATTTCAACGTGATCTTAAATGGTCTCATGCGAATCCAAACCAAACACACTAAAACCCAAAGATATACTTGATGTGTTAAAGTGCATCATAAACTTATCCCAGAATAGTTCAGCTCAATTTACAGGGATCCCAAACTGACTCTAGTCCAGAGCCACAATAAATCTGAAGCATCTAGAAGGTTAACCTGATTAATTATTAATCCAATAACAATTCCAAGTTCCAAACAGAGAGAATAGTTCAAAAATGGTGTATGTAAAGGTTCCAGGGATTTTAAAGACAGGCCACAACACTTGTTTCTGGCTGAATACTGCTATTGCAGAGCAACTTATAGTTAGAGTGTGATTCTGAATCCCTTGAAATGTAGTGGCAAGTAACAAGAGAGTTTCAACAGCATTGTGTGTTACTTTGAGGGAAAACATTCAAACTTCAATCTTCTACTCCAAGTGTTGTAACGTGGAATGTTTCCGGGGTCTGGGAATTATTTAATTGTTTAAAATGAAGTGTCTTAAAATGAATAAAATTGTAAGCAGTTTTATAAATTAACCAAACTTCAAACTTCATAACTTGTCCATAAATTTTAAAATTAGTTTATATAGAAGTTAAACATGAAAATGTAGAAAAATCATACAAAAAAAATTTCTGGGTAGATTAGCTAATAGATAAACTAATTTTGATTTTTTTCTTCTTATTTTTCTGTATTGGAAGTGTTCTTGAGAAATTATTTCAAACATGGACAAAGAAAGGATTGTGCAAAAATTGCAATTATAGTATTGATAAGAGAAAGGGTACCTGGAAAGAGAGTGATTCCCTAAAAAGGAAGAAACCTGCTAAACCGGAAGAGATAAAATTGGTAGCGAAATTGGTGACAGTTGCCTGAAGAGAAGAGAGAGCCTTAAGACTATTGACATAACAAGCCCACATCGTTACATTGAACAATAACACCATCCCGTATCTGAGAAACTGTTCAGTTCGCAGTGAGTAACAAAGATTGAAGGAAAGAGAATTGATTATAATATGAAATGCAGAAGTGAAATCTGAATGGTTAACCGAACCTGTTGAAGAGGGAGCTTTACGGAAATGGCTGCAAGAGCGGCATTAAATCCAGCAGAAACAGCCCACGCGTATCCTTTTCCGTTAGTGCCTGAACCTGACACTCTCTCCATGATCCGATTCTGATCGATCACTGTTTCAAATTAGGGCAAATTATCATTATTGGATTTGTTCTTTTGCAAAGGAAACTCCTAATTTGGCAACAGGTTTTGTTGCTGAGACGCGTTTATTCAAAAATATCATAATAAAATATTAAGATATTTAAACAAGATTACTTTTTTCCCTTTACTGCAATGATTAATCTTGAATAACATCCCTTCTCTTCTCTAATGACAAACCAAACTGACTTTTTTTTTGGTACAAGTTTCTTCGTCTGAACCAGAACTATTTTAAGCATTTTTTTTTCTTATTATTTAATATAATAGTATGCTAATTTATCAAGACAAATATTTACTTTGATTTAAATACGTTTTCAACTTATCCAATTAACGGGTCTTGATTGTGATTTATATAATGAAAAAAATATATACCAAAATACATATATAAGAAATTCATAAGAAAATTCATATTTTTCTCTTCTATTTTTCAGAACTCGTTTATATCATGCATGACCTTGACCTTGTTAGCTTTCTATGAAAGTAAGATGAAGACACAAATACACCTAAATAATGTGATCTTTTGATAATACGAGTCACACACTTTTGATAAGTGGTGAAAAACTTAAGTGCAACCAAATTTCTTTTCATCTTTAAAGTAATTGTGGACTTTATGCTTTTGATTTAATTCTAACATTGTTTTCCTTATATTAAGTTTCTATCATTTTAAGTATTTTCTTCATATGGTAAAATAACTTAATTTTAAGTAATTTTGTAAAAATATCAGCAACTTATTTTTGAGTGGGACAATACTTGATCAACACATTTTTTTCGGTCATCCGTTCTCAATTTTTTTAAAATTAAATATTTATGTGTTTTGACTTTTCATGAAATACTGTATTTTTGCATAATGCAATTATTGATTTATAAAAGAAATATCAATGTGAAATGATGCATTACTTCAAGAATTCTTCTTAATTATACTATCTGAGTTGCTGGTTGTTGCCATGTATTCTAGTTTTAAAAATTGAAAGAGCAACAATATGTTTTTTCTTGTTTCAACATTTATTACCCTATCACTATATTTGTATTTCTGATGTTATTAGTGTTAGCATAAAAATTCTTTGTCAAAGTAGCTTTTATATATTTCAGAATTTTGTTTACTTCTTGTAGATGACATGCACATGGTTGTTCTATGAATCTACTAAGTAATCATACTCCAAAGATAATGTTTGGTCTAGTAGGAGTCACATATATAAAACCTTTAATCAAGCTCTTGTAATATGTTTGGTCTAATAGCAGTTAAATATATAAGACCTCCATGATGGTTGTATTCTTTCTTTCTATCATTCCATTTTGTTGAGGAGCGCATCTAATTGTTATGTTGAATCCCGTGGTGGTTAGAGAAATTTGCATAAGCAATATATTCTTGACCTGTGCTTGTCCTTAATGCTTTAATCTTGCAAACACTTTGTTTCTCCATAAATCCCTTAAATGACTTAAATGCATTACATGCTTTTGATTTCTATTTCAAAAAATATACCTAAGCTTTTTTCCTAAAGTCATCAATGAAAGTAATAAAATACAAGTTAACACCATGAGTTGGTATCTCTACCATACACAAATCTGAATGAACAATCTCCAATATCTTTCTTTATCTCCAGGATTTTCCAATTTGAAAAGATTTTTTTATGCTTCTTTCCAATTTCACATGTTTCACAAACACTTTCTAGAATGTTTACAACAGAAAAGTCATATACATATTCTTTTATAGATAAAAAATTTAATTCAGAAAAGTGATAATGTTCAAAAAGCATGCACATAAGGAGTTATCATTTGGTACAAAAGAACTTAAGTAGGATAGTTCTTTATGTTGAACTTTCAAAGGAAACAAGTTATTATAAGTCATTTTTTTACCTTGGAAATAAATATCTTATTTTCATCCATCAATGTACAAAAGTCATTACTAATTTGCATGTTGTAGCATTTTTCTAATATTTGTCTCATACTCAATAGGTTTTTTATGAAGACCAGAAGCATAGAAAACATTAGATATGAAATTATGAAAACCATATTTTAATTTGATACCAATTATTCATTTCCCCAAAGTTGGAATATTTGTATTAGTTTCGAACTTCACGATAGATTTTACTCTTTCATCGAGTGAGGAAAATAATTCTTTTTTCCCCCTCATGTGATTCTTGCAGTTATTATCTAAATACCAAATATTTTCATCACTTTCAAAATTATTTGTTGCTAAAAGTAAAGTATGTGGGTTATAAGAACTTTCACGAGTATGTTGATCTTGATTTTCTACTATATTTGCCTATTGTTTGAATCTACAATATACAACTTTGTCTGAAATTTCCACATTAGTAGCAACTGAAATTTGTTTTCCTTGGTAGTTGAAGTCTCATCTTCCTCTTCCTTTATTGATAGATCTGAAATCGTGTCCACCTCTTTCTTGACTAGGTGGCCTGAAATTGTTGTCTTTCCATTATTGATTGTCCTCTAAAGTTGCCACAACCTCTACCTCTTAAATTTATCTTTCCACCTTCACAACTTTTATTGTCTTCACTTTGAATGGATTATCTATGTTGGTAAAATTAACTTGGGGGCATCTTCATTTACTCTTTCAGTTTTCTCCAAAAAAAAATTCCAAAATTCTGCTTACACGACTTTTAATGCTACCTTGCAATTCTATAAATGTCATGGTGTCTGTATTGTGGGACTCAATTATTGTAGTCACCACATGATCAAACTTGATTGGCATGGTGCGTAGAATTTTCTCCACCACCTTGTTTTCTGAAATATCTTCTCCATATACCCTCATCTTATTAACAAGGTTTGTTACCCGTGAAAATTATTGTTTCATGGTTTTTGAATTGGACATCTCATATTTTTCATATTCTCGATGCATGGATTGTAGTTTGGATTTCAAAGCTTTTCTTACTTCTTTGCATGTTTTGACATTTGTTATTTTTCCAAAAATTGAATAGTCTACATCTTGGTGAATTTGTGATAGCGCCACCTTTGAGTTGTATCATCAACTCCTTGGTGTAAGCGTAGTTAAATAAAGCTCCAACTATTGTGATCTTTCAATGGATGGACATCAACAATGTCCAATAAGTATAATCTAGTTTCCCGTCTAATTTGAGACTGGACTAAATAATATTGTAATCTATGACAATTTCTCTCTCTTTAATAAACTCTACAAATTTGATAAAGTGAAAAGTTTCTTATTCCTCACACACTCAATTTATTTTACTATCTCTCTCACAAACTCATGAAACTAATGTTGGATATAACCAACTCTAATACCAATTTGATACTAAGAGGACATATATAAGAAATTCAAGAACTCGCGCTTTTACTCTGTTAAGCACAAACTCTATTGTTTTTCAAAGCTTACTTACATTATGCATCACCTTGGTAGCTTATTTATGAAAGTGAGATGAACAAACAAACCAAAATAATACATGCTTTTAATAATGCACTCATGGGTCACACACTTTTGATAGGTGTTGAAAAATTCAGGTGCAAACAAATTTCCTTTTATCTTTAAAGCATTTGTGAGGCCCATACTCTTGATTTAATTCTAACAAAATAATGGTAGAAACAATATATGACTTACTTTTTAAAATTCTTGGTATTGTTTCATTATATAAGTGTTTTAATTTATAATAGTCTAATTTAATATGGTTCTTTTCAATTTAAGTGGATTTTATTGTAAAATGAGTCTTTTTACATCTTTTTTTTTCTTTTGTCACACAAATTTTCTACTATGTTTCTACTGGGATGATATCAATTTAAGTTTAGAATTATATCCATAAGTTGTTCTTATTTTGCATGTCTCTTATTAAATTTTAGTCTGGTCTCATAGTTCTTTAACAAGATTTATTTCAACATTCATCCATTGCTCATTCTTTCAAATCGTTTGTTAAATTAAATGCTTGTTGATAGAGTGATGAATTGTCAATCTCAATCATAATCATAACATTCACTTCATCGATATCAAGGTGTATGCATATGCTTAAAATTCCTTTTAACGACTCCTTAACCTACTTTTCTTTTGTTGCTCGTATTTCTTTCTTGAGTTCAAACAATATGACTTTGTTAATAGTTTCTACTTGCCTAATTATTTTAAGAGTATTCCATCAAAATATATTAAAAACATAAAAATAAAATAATAATAATAATAATAATAAATAATAATAATAAATTTGATTTAATATATTCAAATATATTAAATTATAATAAAATATTAAAATTAATTAAATTATTATTAAATTTTAAATAAAAATGAAAATTTTAAAAAACTTATTTATATATTAAAATCTATAAAATATGTTAATACTTTTGCTTTTTATTTAAAATTTAATAAATATTAAACTTAAAAAAAATTTATAATATTACTTATTATATTTTTATATTTTAATAATTAATAAAATATAATTTATATTTTTAAAATAGTTTTATTAAGAAAATTGAAAAATAATAACTAAGAATAAAAATGAAAATAAAAATAATACTTAAAATTATATTTAATATATTTAAATATATTAATATTTAAATATATTAAATTATATTAAAATATTAAATTAAATTTAATAATTATTAAAATTTTAAAAAACAAATTTTGAAAAATTTGTTAATCGGATATAGATATTCGATAAGTTATGAATCGGATATCCATATCCGATAAAGAATGGTTTTTAAAATTTTATTTCATATATAAATTTTAATAATTATTTATTTTAATTTAATATTTTAATATAATTTAATATATTTAAATATTTTATTTTATAAAATTTTATTTGTTATTTGATAAATGATTGTTTTAAAATTTTGTTTATTATTTAAATTTTAATAATTACTTTATTTAATTTAATATTTTAATATAATTTAATATATTTGAATATATTAAATAATATAATTTAATTGTTATTTGATAAATGATTGTTTTAAAATTTTGTTTATTATTTAAATTTTAATAATTACTTTATTTAATTTAATATTTTAATATAATTTAATATATTTGAATATATTAAATATTTTATTTAATATAATTTTATTTTTTTGTTATTATTTTTATTTTAATTATTTTATTTTTATATTTTTAATATAACTATTATTATAATATAAATTATATTTTAATAATTATTAAAATATAAAATTATATTAAATAATATTAGAATTTTAAATTTAATTATTATTAAGGTGGTGTAGAGTTTTTTAACAAGAAAAAGAAAAGA